AAATGATAAGTTACAGAAATAACCCCTGAACTATTTGTCACTTGCTAATTTTGGAGGCAACTTTTCCACATGTTTATATTTAGTCCTTTTAGTTTTTTATTGTCCACATATTATCATTGAACTTGTTTGGACTGTTCACATTACATCCTTATGACCTGACCGATTGGTGTAGGTAACATACTTTAGGTTTTGTTCATATTTAGTCCATTACACTTTTTTATCCATATATTACCATTGAACTTGTTTAGAGTGTCCATATTATATCCTTGTGGACTTGTTTCGACTGTTGACATTACATCCTTATGACATGGCAGCTTTGGGCGTCTTCTATGTTACCATTGAACTGCATTTCTACTAGTCTGTATGAGAGATGTTTCAGTTTGAGCTTGGTCCTACTCAATCTTTCATCTTCTATAAATTGTCATAACTCCTTTAATTGAAGTCGGAATGCCATGATTTTTTTCAACACATCGTTTGTTGTATACTTCATTCTAGACTATATAAACACCTTATTTGGTTGCATGTTGATTGAGTTACAGATCCCGAAACATAACGTATCAAAGCTGAATTTATGTTATTTGAACATTGAGTTTACTTTTTGTACTTCATTTTAGACACTATAAACACCTGATTTCTTTATCTAGTGGGTTAATTTTTTATGGTTGATTTGATATTATTTTAATCATTTTGTCTCAAAGCATTAACTAGTTGTACCAATTGCATAAGGACATGTACCCATTCCGACCGAGCATTTAACAAAAAAACCAGAACCGATGTAGTCTAACCGATCCAATTATCGTTCTCATTATTGGTCTAAAGCGGTTCCGATTCTAAATCGGGTCCGGTCCGATTCGGACCGGTTGCTCACCCTAGTACTACTAAGTCTTATTGGTTTGGTTAACATTTACCTGACCAACTACCTAATACTACGCATGCTCATCAAACAGCGAGACTGGTCCCCAAAGACCAAACCGTTTCTCTAGTGATGTGGATAAACTATTGTAAAAAAGGTTAATGACTTATAAGGTAACATAGTTTAGATTTTGTTCACATTTGGTCTCTTATATTTTTTTTGTCCATATATTACCATTAAATATGTTTGGACTGTTCACATTAGATCCTTATGCCCGGTTAAAACCTACATAACGTTATAAGAAATAGGGATGTAATATGAATGATCAAAACAAATACAATGATAATATATGGACAAAAAATAACTTAAAAAGATTTAACGTGAATAAAACCTATACTATGTTCCTTAATAAGTTTATCCTTATATATTTTTCAAAATTAGTTTTTATTAGAATATTTTTTTCATATTTTTATAAGCTATTCACATTTGGTCATTTTGGTGATTAGACTATTATAAAATCAGGGTAATAAACTTAATTAACTTTTAAGATTTGAACATGAATTATTGATCGATTTGATTATCTTTCCAATATTCTAACGTGGGTAGCACAGAGACATAATTTGAAGCATCTGGTTCCTTCATAAGCATTCAAGTTCTTCAAGATCTAATCCAAGCCCTTCCATTAACAACCGGCCGGCCGCTATACACATTTCTCTTCATTGATTCTTCACTCTCTCCCATCTCCGTCTTCAATTTTTCTCCTATCTGTTTCCATATAATTCAATTCTGCTGAAACTGATAGTTACGAAGGGATCGGAGGACAAAAAAATGTTGGCCAAGGCAGATCCTTCTCAGAAATTGTATACGCGTATGAGATTATGGGAGTATTCTGATCAATTTGTTGTGGAGCCTAGTGATGGTTCTTCTGGATCTTGTTTGGCAATCAGTCGTCTTAATGGGGCCCTGACTCTCCTTGGTTTGTTCTCGATTTCATTACTTTCTCTTCGATTTGGAACTTATTGAATTTGTATTGAAATATCATGTTGTACAAGACTATAATTTTGGTGGAGGGGTTTACCTTAATTACAATAAGCCACGAGATTTGATCATCTCACATCTGCTGTAGAATAAGTTCCGATGCTGAAAAACTATTTGAAGTTTGTAATTTAGTTTAGTAATCCATGTACAATATACTACTCGATTAGATTAGAATGTTTTCCTTCATTTCCATTAAAATTTCCAGACAATTTTCATTTTGTGTTGTCTCTATGAATTACAACATTTCCTCTTTTGCAACCTAATTTGCCAATTGTGATTGTTACCTAGGATAGATGCTCATCCACTGGAAGTAGAGTAGAAGTAGGATATATCTCCCTAGTTAGTTTGTAAAATTGCAATAAATAACAACACATACTTTTACTAAATTTCTAATATGATGAATGGACTTCAAAAGTCATTATTCAAACCAATATACTTTTATAAATAGATTGTTTTAGATCATTTCTGAGATCCAGATGATTTTTATTGTTGTTGATGAAAGTTGTATGGTTTATGATTATTATAAATCTTGGCTAATGTTTTATCACTGTTTCCTTTTATGTAGATGAACTTCCAAACTCTACTGGCCACTCTCCAAAAGTTCAGACCATTTTTGGTGTTGTTGGGATGCTAAAGCTTTTGGCAGGTGGGATGATAAATATAGTAGTATATATATTTTTTATCATTATATTAATTAACTGTATATCTGTGTAATGCCTACTTGCTTTTGGATTTTGTTTGTAATAAGTCCAAACATGCTATATAATGACATAAGTTTGATTAAAAATTATAAGGATTTGCATTATTCACGGATCAAGTAATCAGTTTCTAGTTTTTGGGTAAACTGATTTTGATTTTGATTAGAAGTAGTTGTGAGAAAACTGATGATTGAGATAAATGTAAAATTACCAAACTGTCCCTAGGTTTTAAGCAACTGTTTTTCCTTTTCAGGATCATATCTATTTGTCATATCTGAACGTGAATGTGTTGGATCCTACTTGGGTCATCCCATTTTCAAAGTTTCAAAGTTAAAAGTCCTTCCATGTGATCATTCAGTGAAAAACTCTCCTGAAGAACAGGTGAATGCAATTATGAAATGAACTTCTCTTTTAATTTTTTAAATCTGTTTGTTTGTTGTTATCTTTACTGTATATTTAATATTATATAATCTAATTCTGGCAGAAAAAGACAGAGTCCGAGTTTTCTGCCATGTTAAAAGTTGCAGAGAAGACTCCTGGCCTCTACTTTTCATATGATGTTAACATAACATTAAGGTTCATCTTTTTTATAAAATATAACATGTCTTTCCTTTAAAAATCTATTTTTAGAAAGAAGATTGGTTTTTAAAGTCTAGTGATCAAATTAGAAACCAAGTGAACCTTTTTCTATCATTTTTATCTTTTCAGTGCACAACGGTTGAATGACTTGGGTGATGAATCGAGGCTTCTTCCTCTTTGGAGACAGGCAAGTGTTCCCTTTTAAGTAGAGGGGGTAATTTAGTCCATTTATGTGAAAATGAGTCAATTTCGGTTATATTTTTATTGATAAAAAGATAGCTGGAAAGAAAGTGGATCTAATAAGTTGAACAAGTTAAAAGTTGCTCAAAGTATAACCAAATGTTTACAACCTCCCAAATCATTTTATTCAAAAAACTAAATCTTTTTTTTTTTTTAATAATAGTTTCCTGTCATTATATTTAATATATAATGGTTTATGAAGTTAAGAAATAGAAAAAAAGTTAACAGGTCAACCCAACCCGTTTGACCCATTTCTTTTATATGTTTTTAATTGTATCTACACCCATGCATATCTATACAAAAATGGTGCTTTTTGGCATAAAGATTGCCAATTTACATTTTCCTATTATATATAAATATATTTATTATACACTTGTAATTTTTGTGTCACAGGCAGAGCCTCGTTTTCTTTGGAACAATTATATGTTGGAAATTCTCATTGATAGCAAGGTTTGTTTTTTCATGTCTAAAAATCTAATTTCTTCATCTTTCATAAATCTGAATACCTGAATTTACCATTATCTCCTTGCAGCTTGACAAGTACATGCTTCCTGTCATCCAAGGGTGTATCCTTTTTAAAAAATATATATATATATATATATATATATATATATATATAATAGAATGAGTATGAGTGTGTTATGTATGTGAGATAAAGAAAGAGAGAGCTCATAGTTATCAATTTCTATAAATGTGGGACAATTGCTACATCTGTCTCCATTTGGGATACATTATTAAATCATAAAAGTTTTTGTTTTTCCTCAATTTATAATCAGCTTTTCAGAACTTTCAGTCAACTATTGGAAAAGATACAATAGATGTCACCCTAATTGCAAGAAGATGCACTAGGAGAACTGGTATGTATGCTTCTCAATTAAAGAGTTAAATGCAAATACTTTCATTTCTTTCTATTGTAACATTGTACTTTGAAAATCATCCAAATACAAAGCCATTTTCACTGCTGTAATTTGGGTAGATTTTTCAAATTATGATGTCTTGATAAAAAATTAAAATGTTGGAATACAAAAGAAATGAAAGTAGATTGCTATTTTCTTGCATTTAACCCTAAATTAAATTAGGAAAATAGATATATAGGTTCACAAGTCGGTTTTCTTCAAGTATAAAGTTGTAAATATACACAGGGACACGAATGTGGAGAAGAGGAGCTGATTCTGATGGCTATGTTGCAAATTTTGTTGAAAGTGAACAAATTGTAAAATTAAATGGATTTACTGCATCTTTTGTGCAGGTATATATATATATTTATTTCTTAACTCCATTGTATAAATCTTTAATGTATTTGGAAATTGGAATGTATCTAAAGTGAATAAATAGTATCCAGTGTAACAGTTTTTGAAATTGCTTTATATATGTGTATATAAACTGAAATTTCACAATAATTGCATGTTGAAGAAAATAATTCTTATACAATTTATTTTTATCGAATCACATTATTACAAAAAAGAGTTTTTGGATTATTTATTTTGTAGGTCCGAGGATCAATGCCATTCTTATGGGAACAAGTTGTTGATTTGACATATAAGCCTAAGTTTCAGATTGTGAAACCTGAAGAAGCAGTGAGTATATACCAAATTTAAATAACTAACAATGTCTTCTTTCTTAGATTTGTGTTTATAATTATTGCAACATATTAAATAACAAATGAAAGTAAGTTTTTATTTATTGAATTTAGTTTCTACTTGATTTGTGTTAGTTTCTTACACTTAATATGAACTCTGCAGCCTCGAGTTGCTGAGAGGCATTTTCTGGATTTAAGGAAGAAATATGGAAATGTCATAGCTGTTGATCTTGTCAATAAGGTATGTAAAATTTTTAAATGTAAATACAATATATATAATTCTAACTCTATCCTATACATTACTTTAATATAAAAAATGAAAATTAAGCATATTAGAAGCTCATTAAACACCAAATAAAGAAATAATTTATTCTTTGTTATTTTAGGGTGGTGGTGAAGGGCGATTATGTGAAAAGTACGCCTCTTCAATACAAAATATTCTTAGTGATGATTTGAGGTAACAATTTTATCTCATATTTGCAATCTAATTAATTAAATGTTATTATTATTTAATTAATGCTATAATAAACAAATATATTAAAGTACATTGCTATTTTTTGTAGATACGTTCACTTTGATTTCCATAAGATCTGTGGACACATGCATTTTGAACGCCTATCTCTCCTTTATGATAAAATTGAGGAATTCCTTGTTAATAATAGGTACATTTCATCTTAATAAGTTATTAATAACTTAATTTTTTTTAGGATAAATGTTTTATTTGTCAAAAAATTATAGGTATTACTTGCTAAATGATAAAGGTGAAAAGATTGAAACCCAAATTGGAGTTGTAAGAACTAATTGTATTGATTGCTTAGATCGCACAAATGTTACACAGGTATATTATTATATCTCTACCTTTTTTTTTATATAAATTTATAAATCTTGATTCTTTTTGTTTTATTTTTTGTAGAGTATGATTGGGCGTAAAATGTTGGAACTCCAACTTCAAAGGCTTGGTGTTTTTGATGCTGAAAAAAAAATTAGCTCTTATCCTAATTTTGATGATTGCTTCAAAATATGTACGTATTTTTTATAACAAATTTCCTCTTTTAATCATGGATTTGTAGTCTCTTTATTATATATATAATATGTAAAATCATAATTTTATTTTTCAGTATGGGCAAATCATGGGGATGATATAAGCATTCAATATTCTGGCACCCCTGCTTTGAAAGGAGATTTTGTCAGGTAAATAGCAACCTACTTTCATTTGATTTGTTTTTTTTTTATTATTGTAAGGTTGATAAATAATTTATATAATTGTTTTTTTTTTTTTTTTTTAAGATATGGAAAAAGGACAAGCCAAGGGCTTGTTAAAGATGGTATAAGCGCCCTAACGCGCTATTACCTCAATAATTTCATTGATGGGACAAAACAGGTAATTTAATTATAAAGGCTAAGTGAAAAAATAGCAATGTATTTCCATTTACATGTTTAAATTATTTATTTATTTATTTATTAAATGTTATTCATATAGGATGCAACGGATCTACTACAAGGACATTACATTGTTTCCGTGTCTAGAGACATGGCTCCAAAAAAGCCCAAAAAGAGGGTCGAGTCCTATGCAGTGAGTATAATTTAAAAAATAATTATGGATTTCGGTTTTACCTTTTTTTATTTCTAATATTGATATTGTTTTTTGTTTTTTGGAGTCTTTCCCTCTTGCTTTTGCATTGATAGCCATGGGATTCTTTTTCGCCATGTTGTCACTAAGGCAAGGTGAGTTGGTTCAAAACCCCAATTAATCAATTTTCATTTTTTTCAACTTTTAATTAAATCTTTTTCTTTTTTGTTTTGTTTTGTAGTTCGAAATGATATTTGGCAACTAGTATTTTCCCTATTTTGGGGGGGATTAAGTTTAGCAATAGCAGCATTTGTGAAAGCTAATGGTCGGGTTTTCTGTAATCGACCCCGTCTACACATACCTTCATGATATGATTTTGGCTTGCAACCAAGGAACTCATTTTTTGGCCTCTTGGAAGAGAAAGAGCTTGTTCATTCATTATATAACATATATAATTATGTAATACTTTTTGGTTGTTTGAAATTATAGGTATTAAAATATAACTTTTTCCTCTTATTTTTCAAATATGTAAGTCAAATATTGGACTCACTTTTATCTTCTATCTTGTACAATGATTTGTTTTGATAAAAACATTTGAAGGAACTAAATTTTGGAATGAATTAGTGTGTTGAATGATATATATATATATATATATATATATATATATATATATATATATATATATATTTCCTTTCTTGTTACTTGTAGCAAAAGTATATAAATGAGATATCTAGTTTTTGGACCTTGCCAAAATGATAGGGACCATTTTGCACTAATTCAAAAACTCATCTAACACCCTCACCTCAGCTTAACTCCCCTACAAGGTGGATTGATCATTGATATGATAAAGAAACATTTATTTATACGAGTTTGTGACATACTCGCCAAATGCTCGACAAGAGGGAGTAAACCGGTCGTTGAGGGCTACAGTTAGCCAGGGTTTGGGCATGCCCCACAAATCAAGCACTTCTTATCCCTTTTGGGCTTGTTTTTTTCTTTGATTTTTGATGATTATTAGGGTGTTGTTGGTTTGTTTCATAATAATTAGTTTCTTTTTAGCATTAGGATCCATAATATTAAAAATTGAGATGCTAGTTTTTTTTTTTTGAAACGGCAAACTATCTAAACCTACTCCTAAATACCACCTATGTCTCCTAAGAGACTTGAACCCATGACCTTTCATTTGAGAGGATCACTCTTGACTGCTAGGCCAAAGGCCTTTTGGTTTATTCTTTTCATTATGAGTTGATTAACAAAAACTCTTATGAGAAAGTTATAAATTACTTCTTTTAATGATTCTATTCACACCCTCCATTTAGATGCACCATATGGTGGACAAATGTGTGTAGTTGGCCCCACACACATATGTCGATCATGGAAAGTGCATCCAGTATTGAGATACCAAATAGTAGCAACCGAAACTCACCATCTAAAGAATAGTGATTATTCTTGAGAGGAGTGAAGCTTAGGTGTTGTTTGGTTTGCAAAATGTTTCTAAAGGAATTGGAATTGGAATTGGAATTGGAAAAGGAATCTGTTAGGAATTTGAATCTAATTCCATATCCTGTTTGGTGGCGACGGTGGTAGTAGTGGTGGGTGATGGTGGCGGCGGTAGTGGTGGTAGTGATGGCGGCAGCGGTGGTAACGACGACGGTGGTGTTGGTGACAGCGATGGTAGTGGTGGGTGATGGTGGTGGTGGTGGTAGTAATAGCGGTGACGACGATGGTAATTGTGGTGTGTGATGGTAGTGGTGGCGATGGCTGTTGGTAGCGGGTAATAGTAGTGGTTGTGGTGACAGCAGTGGTTGTCTGTGGCAGGTGATGGTAGTGGTGGTGGTGGTGGCGGCGCTGGTGGTAGGTGGTGGTGGCAGTGGCTGTTGGTGGTCGGTAGCAGTAGTGGTGAGTGTTGGTTTTCTAATAAGTAAAGGGAGCGTTTTCGTAATTTGCCACTTTCCTTGATGAGAAGTAAAGTTTTTCATCCAACTTTGGAATGAATTCATTTTCTTCCATATGATGGAAAATTTATTTCATTTAGGAATCAATTTTCCCTCTAAGTCCAACCAAACATATGGATTCGAGGAATTAAAATCATTTTCTCTCGAATTTCAATCATTTTCTACCAACCAAACACGCCCTTAATATTTTTCTTGACTATATTCCTTCCCATCATAAGTTTTGGACTTTAATCAACATATGGGTGACTTTAGTATCGTCCTATATTTGGAAGTAGTGAACTACATTAACCAAAACATAACTCCTCTTGCTAAGCATGAAGGAAAATATGATATAACTCCACAAGTTTAAAACACAAGATCCATTAACAACATTAGTATGTAAGCCATTTTTGGGCATAATTTGATGAAACGTCTTACAAACCTAAATTGATATGAACTAACATAGTAAAATTACTTTAAACTTAAACACCTTATTATAATAATAATAATAATAATAAATAATAAATAACGTCATAAATCAAGCATCCTTCTTTTTCTTCTCCAAAT